TCTCAAGAGAAAAAACACCAATGCACCTAATCCCAGCCATGGGAAAGACAGGAGTAAGAAAGAGAAAAAACATAAAACAAAAGGCACAGGTTTACAGAAATTTCAGGGGAGGATAGGCCAAGACGAAGGGTAGAAAGGAAAAGCGCCCCCCTCTTTCTGTTGCCCACAGCCTTTCCTAAGTCATAATCAGGAGAAACACAACAGCAACTTCGTCATTACCTTAATCTTTCTGCTTGATGATTCTGCTACCTTTGGATTCACTCATCACAATTCCACACTACTCAGCACATGTGACCTCTCACTGTACAAACCTGACTCAAACACATCCTTCTGAAAATGGGAACTCACGCATCTCCCAGAAGCACAGTCTCGGATCTCATAAGCATCTCATTATTCATTTAATTATAGATTGCTTCCAGCAGGTTAATTCTAAGGTAAAACTCTAAAGTAAAAGTAGGAATTAAAACAACTGAGAGAGAATCATACTGGGAAATCTTAGAAAAATGAATTTTATATGAATCTGAAACTTAGACCCCTTTGCTTGGAACAGTGTCAGTCATTTTGAAGGGAAGGCTTCATTCTAATTAAATAGAGGCCTGCCTTCTTACTCAATATCACCATTTTGAACACACACTTTGTTAAAATAACCAACCCAGAGCCTACTAGGCTGAATTAGCCCTAGTGTGCTAGGTTCCTATGTGAGCAAACCAACTCAGCATAAGCTATAAAAGGATACAAGTCCAACTCATCAGAAACCATCAACTAACCTCTATCTAGAACCTTCACCAATCAGAAAACACCAATTAACCTCTAGCCAGGAAGTTTCTTTTAACCAATCAAATACCTTTATTTTGTCTTGCTTCCTAGAACAAGTTAGGAAACTTTCCTTGTTCACCACTATTCCCAAGAGTAAAGAGCCAAACTGCTTGTGGTCTTGTGGTACATGACTCGTGTATCACTGAATGCTAAAATAAAATTGTAATGTGCTTATTAAGTTCACCTTTTAGCAGTTCTGAATATGTAAGGCATATTGAACCCTAGGATGGCAAAAGTATTTTAATATTTCCCTTCTTATCCTGTTTTGTAGACTCAAACCATGAGTCAAAAAATGGTTCAAAATCTACACTAAACTTTTACAACCAGTTTCAGTAGGTTCTGTGACAAATACAGATACTGAAAAATATCTATCAAATAATAAAAATGAATAAAAATCAAATAATGTGAGGAAACTGCTGGGGAAAAAAGGTTAATTGTGAGCATCCCTGAAACTGTGTTTTTAAAATTTATGCTTTACTGTATTTTCCACATTTTCTAAGACAAAGGTGCCTGGGTTTAATCATTAAAATACGAATTATTATTAATTTTTAAAGAGGACTGAGTGAGACAAGTTTCGAATGCGCATGTATTTAAAGTCATACCAGAGATATTCTGCACCCTGGAAATGGCGAATACACAAACCCTTCTACAAACCGCATGAATTCCAATTCAAATACTGCCCAGTGTTACACAACCTCAGATCCCCTGCAGAGAGGCTTTTCCTCTGCAGCACAATGAAACCCCTTTATCAAAGAGTGCAAAGAATCTACAACTGAATTCAATTTCAAGAATTATAAAGTATCACTGATATAAAGTGAAACCATCCAATAAATGGTTTCATAGTGCCTAGTGCTCACAATGAAAGCTAGAATATCATTCTATTTCTGAACAGCTCATATTTTCAAACCACTGCTGATTTCTGAAATATACACCTGTTATCTAAACTTCTCTTGCTAAGTCACGCCTTCCCAAACAGGAATCTGAGGGCTGGGCTATTTTTACAGCTTTATAACTGGTTCACACCCCCTCTCAAGCTTTCCGCAACTAATCCCACCGAATTTCCTGGACAGAATTCCTATTCTCTTCCTTCAGCGATATCTTCCTGAAAAGCACATGTACCAAAATACCAATCTGCATGCGGTCCCCAGTGGCTCCCTAACACTCCTTGTCTACCAAGGGTTTGCTCATGGAATAGTCATTTATCATGGACTATCTCACTCAACCTACAATAACTGAAACAGGGTTTGAAAACTAATATATGAAATTTTGTTTTTCAGTACAGAAAAGCTCTGAGCATTTGCACCAAACTACTTCTCCAGCCCCTTTTTATTTCGTATTTTGAGGCAGGGTCTTACTAAGTTGCTAAACTGCCCAGGCTGATCCCAAATTTGTGATCCTCCTGCCACAGCCTCGCACAGTGCTGAGGTTACACGTGTGGACTACCATGCTCAACTTCTATTACCAACCCAGTAAAAATGAGAAAATCAGGCTTTGAAACTGGCTCAGCATCACTCAACTAGGGATTCCAGCCCACTGCTCTTTCCCTGTCATTTACTTTTCAAGTGTTTACAACACATTACACATGGTTCTAGAATAGCAAATACAACCCAGACTCCTAAGGTCACTAGAAATGTGTGACATACTTAGGACCAAAAACATGTATGCTGCTACTCAGAAATTCAGTCTTTAGTAGCATTCTGTTCACTGCTGTTCATTCTGGCAGGCCTGCAGGTTCCTGGCTCACACACAGTACTGCAAGCTCAGCTGACTCAGTAATCAGCCTAGTCCTTTCCTGGTTTGTCTGAGCTGGCATTGGGATGAGATGGGGTCCTTCAGGAGGGCTTGGATGAAGACCACAAGGGCAGTGAGGAGAGAGACCACCAGGGACAAGTTCCCTTTTGGAACAACTGCTCGCTGTTGTTGCAGCCAGGGCAGGCTCATGAGACAGCCACTCACAAACCCCTTCTCTCACCCATTAAGAGAAGCTTCTGTATTTGACTTGAGCCAACCACCTGAAGAGCAGAAGGTGCTGTCCTGTTCACAGAAGGATTTCCACAGACCACACAGGGAGTTATTTGAGTCAAGCTGACAGGAAAGACTTTTGCAAAGTTCTATAAAGATGAATGAGGAATGCAAGACTCAACAGCGCCAGTCTCAGGGGGATGTGCACCTGCTCCCCAAATAAGAGTCCTCTGCTCCTGGGCTGATTGCCAGAGCTCAATTACCCTAAAGGGGGACTTCGGGAAGAGCCTAGGAATCCTCCGAGTCCTTTTCCACGTGCTGCTGTCTGCTATCAACTTGCCACAAACCCAACCTCTCTTCTTCTATGGACTTCCAGATGTAAAAAGGGATATGTACAAATTAAATCATGCAAATAGGTCCAGTGAGTCAACAAGTATCTTTGAGTTTCTAGCAGGAAGAGATTGTGCTACCTTCTGGAGAAATGAAAGGAAGTCTGGCACATCCCTCACAGTCGGAGTGAAGGGCTCGCACTGACGGAGGAATGATGTGATTCTCTCAGTACAGCAGCAAGCAAACAGGACGCTGGAGGGCTCACAGGACCAGGGAGGGTAGAGGATGGGCAGCTCAGGACCAAGGAGAGAGACCCTGAGCCAGGTCCTCACACTGAGGAGATTCCCAAGCAGAAAGTATGGGTGAGAGGAGGTGGAGAGCAAGTATTCCAAAAAAGAAGGAGAAGTAGTTACCAAATCCCAGAGGTGAGAAAAAGCATCATCTACAGTTGTGGGAACCTCAAATGGAAAAAGGGCTGAGCCCATGAGGAACAAGGGACCTCAGGCAGTGGGGCTGGCAGCCACTCCAAACAGGAAGCATTTGTCAAATGGAGCAGGGTAAAAAGATGATGCCAGTGGTGGTATGGAGCAAATCTGGAGGCAGAAGGCCAGGCGAAAACCCCTGCAGGACCCAGCCTGGACTGCAGCGATGAAAATTAATGAAGTCAACATAGGAAATCCGAGTGTGCCCAGTGGATTAAAGTAAGGGAAAGCTCACCCTGTAACTCTTCCCAATCCATATTTCAGCATCCTCAGAACAATCAGTGGGGGCATGAGTGACTTGTTCCCTGTCAGGTACTAAGCTAACTTCCTTCTAGTCACTGAAAGCTGCAGTCACACATCATAATGGTGTCGGACCAAGGGTATGCACAGGACTCCTTAAAATTTGAAGGTAGAAGCAATGTTTCTAGAAAGTGATAATGCTGCTCTGGATTACCCAGAATGTAAGCTAGACTCTGCTTCTCTTAGGACTTTGTGGGAATTGTGCAATTCCTGCAGCTATAAAAGGTACATATGATAATCTAGAAAACTCGGCTGAAAAAAAATAAGTTCACTCCACTGCCAAACGTGCCTGCCTTGGAGGCCAGCAGACTAAATCTACACAGAACACCTTCTTTCAAGTTTAATGTCCATTTTCCTAATAGCTGAATGTAACATGTCTTATGCATTACCATCCTAAAAACAGGCTGGCAGGACAGATATTTCAAACACAGGGACTACTTATGTCTTCCAAAGAGTAGCAGTAAATTTGAGGAAAACACGCACAAAAATCCGTCAATTGTTCATGGCCTCACCATCCAGCTGCAAGGAGGCGGGGGCCTCAACACAGGAATGTGCACATCTTCAAAGACATAAGACAAGGACAGTTCCCTTGGATTCCCAATCCACTCGGAAAGAGTTAAGAAAGGCCACACAGAAAGGCGATGAGGGGTTGAGGGTACACAGAAAGGCTGCTTGACCTCTGCTTCCACTGGAGAACACAGCGAAATGATAGGAACGGGTTAATTTCTGGAGCCTGACTGCCTGGCTTTGAAACACTTTTATTAAGAGTCAATATGCCTCAGGACAACATATTTCCCTACTCCCTGCCTCAGTTTCCTCTTCTCTAAAATAGAGATGTTGCCAGCATTCACCTCTCACGGTTTGATGGGAGGAATAAGTGAGTTACTTCAGGCTAGAAGGGACCCGGCCACACAGTGAGGTGCAGGCAGAGCTTGCTGTGAGGGGCACACGTGTCTGTGATTTGTACACTTCACCACACTCACACCACACTTCGCTCCTCCACGAAATCACCCAGCACTCTTCCACCTCAGCAGAGAATGCACGTGTAGCTGCACAGACACAAAACAAAGTTGGAAAATGTCTTCAGTGGCAAAACACGACGTCTCTCACCTTGCTCCTACCACAAGCTCTTTCTGTCCTGGGTCAAATGTTAACTGCGAGAAATCCACAGCATTCTTCGCTCTGAACTCCTGCAACCAGGGGCCAATTTCTAAACAGAAAAAAATAAATACATGAAAAGGTAAAAATGAATGATTTTCCCCCGGAGCACCACAGAGAGGGCACATCAGGTAGCATTATACTTGGAGAGGATCTGGAGGTTCCCCACGGGGGTCATTAGGGGCCACTGGAAGTGTTTCTTCAGGACGGCTCCCCACCACACAGAGAACGTGTAAATGCAGAGAGCAGGCACCCAGTACAGAGCTAGCACGGCCCTGAGGCATGCCTGTGATTTACAAGCCAGACATGCATTTTCCTCGTGGCTCTGGGCTGGGCAGAAAATAACACAGCACACAAATGATTCATCGATACTGAATGCAAACAACATACTTTCTTGTGCCATTGGACTGGAAAGGGCTGAAGACTTTGCAAACTCACAAAAGCCCTCTTAGGAGCAAGGACAAAGTTCAGGGCACCACTTGCAGTCTATCAAATTAGACATTCTGTTTCCCTGTCATTTGGGCTCCTACTCGGGCCTGACGATCACACTTGTTAAACACATTCAGTCCTTTCTAGATGAGAAGTCCACAGTTACTTCTGGCCTCATCTACATTTTTTTTCTAAGGGAAATCAGGAAATGGCCACTCTATGGAGACAGTTTTTATAAGCACCGTTAACCCCCATTAGAAGGCCTCCAGCCCAGAGCCTGATGATTACAAAGTGATGGTATCTGAAGAGAGCTCCAATGCTGCTTCATGAGCCATTTTTGCAACTGTTGGTAGCTTGTGTCTGGCAGCTAAAAACTATGCAGTGAGTTGCCTGCCTGTCTGGGGCTACGCTATTGTCATCCTTGGCAGTTAATTGGGTTACTGGGTGGTCTTTATTCTTGTATTTCACATTTTGAATGGTATCACATCAGTTAAACAAGCATGTGACAACTGTCAAATCAACAAAGTAATGGGTCTGAGGAAAAGGAATAATCTCTTTCAACAAACACTATAAATGGATCCACTATGGAAATATACCCATGTCCCATAACATAGCCTCTAGAAACCACTTTGTGGCTGTGAACAGAGAGTATTTTTGACTAATAACGTTGTATATAAAGTATCTTTTCTCTTCTATCAGTTATTGGGAAAACATTAATATCAACTGAGTTATTTTCTGCTTAAAGGAAACAATAACTGAAGTAGAAACTTGTATTTGGTTATGGAATTTTAATATGCATTTTGGGGGTAATTTATAAAAATTTGTTCATTTTTACAATCAGGACAATTACAACAAAACATTGATAACAAAGTACGTACAAGGATCTGGAGCTACAAAAACATTAATGAACAATCCTTCAATAGCTTATAATTCACTAGGGGGAAAAACACTAATATTTGTTTTTGAATGGCATTTATAATTACAAGGTGTTTATAAGGTCTTGCAGAGGCATAGGAATCACTCGTAATATATAAAGGCGAGATGATTGGGAATTTAAGTATTGAGAAAGGAAAGAGTTGACCAGAGAGCCACAGGACAAGATGTCCTAGAGAGAAGAGAAGAAAGCCACGAGGGAACAGTGTCCCCTCTGGTGATAGCTGGTATCGCTCCACTTTACTTAGCCCATTTCTCCATTTCTGGGAAAGATGGCGCCCAAAGACTCCCTCCCACGGCTAAACTGCGCATCCACGCTTGCAGCTCAGACCAAGACACTGAGCACAAGGAGCACAATACATGTGCAAAATGAAGGAACAAGAATAAGTGAGCATTCAAGATGAGGAGAATTTAAAGGAAGGACGAGATTTGGAAAAAATAATGGCAACTTCAAAATTAGTAGGAAAGAGAACGGAAAGGTATACTTAATCTGTAGAGAAACTGGCTTACAGGCTTGGAGTTGATCTTGTACGTGATATCAAAGATTTGATTCATTTTCAAACAAACATGCGACCCACTGAATCATATACCCCATGAATGTGAATGAGCTATCCTTAGGCAGGACGGCTTGAAAATGTGATGCATGAAGGTAAAAATATTATATTCTCTAACAAAAACTGTTTTAAAAGCACAGCATTCTGGATTACCTATGAAAATACGACAGGAAAGGAAGATGTGCTGGGAGAGTCTGATTAGGATCAATGATTGAAAATGAAGTCAAGGGGAACAAATTAAAGAGAACAAAAGTTTCCACATTAAATGAAGAGGTCAGGGATGATATAGACATAGATATGAAGAGTTCAGGCTGATTTCAGAGGAAGTAATGGATTTGGGTGCAAATATGAAAATATTCTACACAAGAAATTCCAATGGCAAGCTATTCCAAGAGGCCCTGCTAACCATTCCTAGGAACCAGAAGAGTCTATAAAGATGTTTTAAGTTTGGAGCTTCATTCGGCCAGGAAACCCGTCAGCAAGGAGCTCTGCCAGTGCTGGAGGGAGGACATTGCGCTCCTCAGCCAACCCGTCCTGGCCTCAAGAGCTCAGTGTCATGAGCACTTCCCCTTTTGTGATGCAAAAAGAGCGGGCTAAGGGCTGACTTTGCTGCTGGGGGAACGGAAAGTTGAGCCAGATAAAGAGAGAAAAGGCCATGAAAAGATGCAAAATAATCAGCTTATTTCCTCTGCACTCAGAGTTCATTTTAGTTAGAGGAACTGGAAGAGAGTGGCCGATAGGACCCAGGATGGTCACACGCATTCTACGTTTGGGTTCTCATCCTGAATAACAAGGGACTAATATGCTACTTCCTACTATATCCTCAATTAAAAGGATTTGTGGGCAGAGAGAAAAGTGAGTTAAAAGCACAAAGTTCTACCAATTTTGTTTGATTTTCCTTACATAATATTCTTATGTACTCGCTAAGAAAACTATTTACTTTTAAGGTCAATACTTCATAAAAGTTGGATAATCTGCATCATCACTTCTTTTTCACTTTCCTGTGCATTCCTCCAGTTCAGACTATCTCTGCTTTGCACATTACATGGCCTACTGCCTTGGATTTCATGGCCTTGGGAGAAAGACTTGTATCAACCCACTCCTCCAGCTGGACATACATCCACATGACACCCACCCTCTCCTGCTCCCTGCAGGCAGGAATCCAGGTGCCTTCTTCACTCTTGGAAGACCAGTGCCCCAGCCTTGCTCCACTCCATCTCTCCTATCCTATTCAGTCCTTTCAATTATCTCCTTTTTACCTCCCTAACATCTCCAATGTTAGCCACCTTTCCCCCTCTCCATATAAGTATATGCACGTATCCCCTACTTTAAAAAAATATTTTATGACACTCGGTTGTTATCAAAAACCCAAAATTGCATAATAAATTCTTACTCTATGTCAATTAAAGATAATTAGGTTGAAAAAGTTATGTCAGACATAGAGATAAAACTTTGCAACTCAGTTTGAGGTATTATTGTCCTTATAATCTTGACAGTAAGTCTGGATCAAGGGGATTATGAGAAAGGCAATTCACAGCACAACATACTTAAAAACACAACTGAAGACATTCTCAGTAGTATCAGCACATGTGCATGTTTCCATCTTCACAGATGTGCACTAGACACACTATTTCTTAAGGGCTAGGGCTCACCCAGCAGCAAACGGATGGCTCAAGAAGCTGACTCAGAAAATCCATCAATGCATTTCACCCTCACGGTAACAGAGGTCAAAAGAAGCAGTAAGAAGTCATCGCTATTGCTTTCTAAGCAACCAGAACATGAATCGTTACAAAAGCAGAAGCTCTAGGACAGCTCCAGGTCAGGAAAGGCAGGGGAGGGAAGGGTCTCAACACTGGGCAGCTGGTGGCAAACAAGCCAGATGTCGCACAGACCAGAAAAAGGAAAGAGACCAGGACAAGGGCCACAGCACTTGGAGAACTGAGGGGATTCAACTTCTAATAACATCAACATGCTCTTTGCCCACCAGTTAAAGGTCTACCTCTTTCGCTCTCTCCCTCTCTTGTGATACTGTGGAAAAACTAACGATGAAATGACAATTAAGCAGCTGCTATGTCATTGATTGCAAGTAAGAGGAGACGTGTAGATTCCAGTTGAGCACTTTGTTCCTGATTTGTAATATCTGCTATTAGCCATCCTAGATAATCCAATCTTTCCCCAAATGTGATTAATTTTTCTACCACAAAATTAGGTGCATTGATTTATATTTGCCTTTTCTTACTATCACACAAGCTCCTGCATGATTATTTTGTCAATATTTTAGCAAAGTATAATGATTCAATTTTTTTAAAAAACCCAGTCTTCCATCTTCAGGAGAAAATGTTTTTCTCAACTTGAGTCAGTATTAATAAATTCAGTCCAAGATAATTGGCAAATACAGGCTGCCTAAGACAGAAACAAATTAGTGTACTCCCTCCAAAAAGAAAGAAAAGGGAGAGAGGAGAAATGAAATTAGAAAAATGGGAACAAGAGCTGCTATTAAAAGCAAAGAAAACAGCAAGCCCTCGAAAGAGAGCCAGGGATGATGAGTTTTTGAAGTTCCCTAAGTGAGGATCACAGAGATGTGGCTGCAGAACAGCAGAGCTTATCATCACATGACAGTCACCCCGAAAACCAGAAGGATGCCTCCACCAGGTAGCCCTGATCGTCCGCAGACCGACTCAGCTTGGTGAACACAGAGCAGGAAACCCAGGTTCATCCTGCACTCCTTCAAACTTCCCTCGATGAAGAAGTCGAGAATGGGTCATCTCAGTACTTTTATTCAGACTTGAAATCTACACTGGGAGCTGAGTCACGGGGTAAGAAGGGTGGGACCAGCAGATAGTGAGTAAAGACTCTTACCAACCAGAGAAGCACACGGATGACATGAAGACCAAGGAAGAGAAAGGCAAACCACAGCCTGTTCCTTCTAATTCTCATGTAATTACACAATTAGTTTAATCTACATCATATCCTACATATGGAAATAATAACAGTGCTAATAATGTGATAATCACCAAAGTACCTGAAAAACAGCTCATATTTACAGTGCATGACATGTGCTAGATGCTATTTCCCATGCATCATACATATTATTAATCCCTGTATTTCTCACACCTGCCTTATTTATTCTAGGTGA